GGCGAGGTCGTCGTTTGGTCGTTCCGGCTGCGTCGCCGTCGTTGTCGAGTTGTACAAGTGCTCGTCGAACTCCGCGAAAACGTTCGCGTCTTCTTGTCGCGTCGTTCCCTTGTCGCCCTCTTTGTCTGTCACGCGGGTAGTGAGAGTTCGGTATCTTCGTGTTTTGATACGCGGGATGCTCTTTGAGTCTCTGAACTGCTCCAGTACGTTTGCTATATGGGCCCGTCGTCTCGCCCTCTTCTGTGCACGGATTTCTTGCTGTATACGTTTACTCAGCTGCTTGCGGGCGTGGCGGTCGTCATTTGGCGTCTGCTGCCGTCTAGTGAGTAGGTTGCGTAGTCGTGCTGGTCCTCTGTCGGGTTGTTGGTTCGCCTGCGCACTGGCCGGGATTGCACCGTCTCTGTCGCACCAAGATGGGTTTCCTGCGGCGCTGCTGGCGGCAGCTGCTTCGACGATAACTCGCTGGATGTGTTCGCACAGTTCACTCGGGTCGGAAGGCAAACTGCGCGGGCGTAAATGGGGCCTTTGATGGTCGTTGTAAGCTTGCGTGTTGGTGATAGTCGTTCGTCGTCGGTGCTGTCGCCGTTGCTGTCGTCGTTCGTCGTCACATCGTGGTCGTCCACATATCATTGCGGTCGGTATCCGCAGATCGACGGTAACAGCCTCGTGGTCGGAGCCGAAGTCGGTCCTGTCGTTGGCCTCTGCGTTGGTGCAGTGCCGGAACATCGGGCGGCTTAGTAGTACGTAGTCGAGCTGCTTGTGATTGTCGCCACTGCTATAAGCGATTTTCTTTTGCACTGGCTTGCGAAAAAAAAAAAAAAAAAAAAAAAAAAAAAAAAAAAAAAAAAAAAAAAAAAAAAAAAAACGTATTTGCAATAACAAGTCCCTCCTGGGCGGCCCAGTGACGTAGCCAACCCCTCGAGTTTTGTTCCCCGAATCCATGGCGGCCAACATGTCTGGAAGTGGTGCTGTCGAAAGTGTCGGCGGCGTCGTCTGCGTCCACGGAGGCCATGTCATGGAAGCCCCCACCTGTGCGTTAAAATCCCCTGCGAGTATCAAGTGATGTCGTGCCTTGGTGCTCTCTCTCTCTCTCTCTGTGAAGCTCGTGGATCATGTCGTACACGCGCTGCACGTGTGCGAGTCTGGGCGAAAGCGCTTGGAACCTCTTTATGTTTTTTACCCAACGTCGATGTATGATTAAGGCAACTCCATGGCATGCTTGGTCATTGCCAGATCCGGCGAAGGCGTGCCTTTCCGAGGTTGTCCAGAACTCTTCGGCCGTTGTTCTCCACGTTTCGTTGATAAGGGCGAAATCCCAGTGATCGGACTCGAGCTCACTGATTATCTCGCTGACTCGGTCGTCTGTTGAAAGAGACCGGGCGTTTCTGTGAATGGTTGTCATATGTATGCGGTCGGTCTGCCCTGGTTGTTGTTGGTGCAGGTTGGTTGGCGCTGGTGGGTCTTGGGCACTGGTGGTCGCTGGTGGGTGCTGCTGGTCCGTTAGAGTCGGCGCTGCTTGCGGTGCTGCTGGTCGGTGAAAGAGGTCGGTGGTAGGTGCTGGTGGGTGTTGCTGGTCGGTCTGGGTCGGTGTTGATTGTGGTGTTGGTCGTCGGTCGGCGGTGGTAGCTGGTGGGTGCTGCTGGTCGGGTGGGGTCGGCGTTGCTTGCGGTGCTGCTGGTCGGTGGTTGTCGGTGGTGGGTGCTGGTGGGTGCTGCTAGTCGGTCTGGGTCGGTGTTGCTGGTGGTGTTGGTCGTCGGTCGGCGGTGGTCGCTGGTGGGTGCTGCTGGTCGGTTAGAGTCGGCGCTGCTTGCGGCGCTGCTGGTCGGTGAAAGAGGTCGGTGGTAGGTGCTGGTGGGTGTTGCTGGTCGGTCTGGGTCGGCGCTGCTTGTGGTGTTGGTCGGGGGTCGGCGGTGGTAGCTGGTGGGTGCTGCTGGTCGGGTGGGGTCGGCGTTGCTTGCGGTGCTGCTGGTCGGTGGTTGTCGGTGGTGGGTGCTGGCGGGTGCTGCTGGTCGGTCTGGGTCGGCGCTGCTTGTGGTGTTGGTCGGCGGTCGTCGGTGGTCGCTGGTGGGTGCTGCTGGTCGGGTGGCGTCGGCGCTGTTTGTGGTGTTGCTCGTCTGTTGTGGTAGTCGGCGGTAGGTGCTGCTTGGTGCTGCTGGTTGGTCTGGGTCGGTGTTGCTTGTGGTGTTGGTCGTCGGTCGGCGGTGGTCGTTGGTGAGTGCTGCTGGTCGGGCGGGGTCGGCGTTGCTTGTGGTGCTGCTTGTCGTTGGTGGTCGGTATTTGGTGCTGGGTGTTGCTGGTCGGTCTGGGTCGGCGCTGCTTGTGGTACTGGTCGGTGGTCGTCGGTGGTCGCTGGTGGGTGCTGCTGGTCGGGTGGGGTCGGCGTTGCTTGTGGGTCTGCTGGTCGGTGTTGGTCGGCGGTGGGTGCTGGCGCGTGCTGCTGTTCATGTGGGGTCGGCGCTGCTTGCGGTGTTGCTGGTCGGTGGTTGTCCGTGGTGGGTGCTGGTGGATGCTGCTGGTCGGTCTGGGTCGGTGCTGCTTGTGGTGTTGGTTGGGGGTCGTCGGTGGTCGCTGGTGGGTGCTCCTGGTCTGTCGGGATCGTTTTTTGCTCTGTGGAAGATGCATGCTGGTACGTCGCCGTCTGTTCGTGCATAAGCCGTTCTCCCGCCTCCAGTGCTCCACGCTGACGTTGGTGAAGCGGTTGGTCGCGATGTCGGCGTCGAGGCTGCAAGTCCTGAGGGGGCGGATCCTGAAGGGAGGTGAAAAATTACACTGCCGTTTTGGTCTCGCATCGAATTCTGGAAGACACGGGCATTCTGAGCGGGAGGCGGAGGGAGGGAGGGGAGAGAGAAAATCGAATACCCGATTGTGTTAAAAAACCTCTAAAACTTCCAGGGCCGGTCTCACACCGCGCCCTCGGGACTAGTCTTTTGGGAAACCTTTGGACGTGATTTGCGCCATCACTTTCCCCAGCACCTGTACCACGAGCTCGTCCCTCAAAATACGAATGTCTTCAAGGGGGATGCCCAAAAAACGGTTGAGGTGGTATTTGACGAAACCGAGCTGCTTCATGTCCCGCCGCTCCGCCTTCGTGAGGTTTTCTGTGAATCTTACGGTTCGATGTGGGGCTCCTCCTGGTACTCGGGGTGGGCTGTCTCGCATCAATTTGTGGAAACCGTTTTTGCTCGCAAGTGTCTGGAACTCTATGTATCCGACGCTGGTGGGGTCAGTCATGCAGAACACGTTGTGCACCCGGTCCTGGTAGTTGTGGTCCTTGGCTAATTGCGTCAAGTACCCGACGACGGAAACTTCGGAGGTGTCTTTTGGAAATCCGTGTGCCACCAGTTGCAAGTTCTTGTTGTGTGTGCTGGGGCTGCCTTTCATGCTCTCAAATGCTTGTTGTAGTTGTTGTACTTGAAGAGCTGTGGCGTCAGTCTTGGCGTGAAGCGCTTTGACCTCGGTAACGTTCGAACCCTTGATGTCATCGATCTGGTGCTGCATGCCTTCAATGTTTCCTCATTGGCCTGATCGTACTTCGTCATTCGCTCGTCCATGATGCTGCGCATGCGCTTGGACATGGGATCGACGATAGCTTGGTCTCTAGGCTCGAGTGCTGGCTCCTGATCCTCATGCCGTCCTGTCTTTGCGTGTTTGGGTTGCGGGGTGGAGCCGGTCGCGGTCATTGCCTTCCGGATGCCATCCGAGGGGCGCTCGGGCGAGAGCGACATGATGTTGGAGAGAAGTAAAGATGGTAGATGGAAGTGGAAGTGTAGAGTGAAAGTGTAAAGTGAAAGGAGGAAAGAGGGAGGAGGAGGGGGGGGGAGGAGGGAGGTGGGAGGAGGAAGGAGGAGGGAGGACGGGGAGCAGGAGGACAGGCAAGCAAAGTGTCAAAATCGGAAGATCGAGCACCACAGCGGGCTGGGCCACCTCCCTCAACCCCTCCCATAACATGTGGTTGCTCGAACGCCACACCGGGCCTGGCCATCTCCGAAAAATCCTCCCATAACATAAGGTTGCTCGAACGCCACAACGGGCCCGGCCAACTCCCGCATGTCCTCCCATAACATATGGCATGCCCAAACCGAAAAGAACGCTACATGTATCCGCTCACTTGAACGGCACGTCGCTTCCGACATTCGGGGCTCAAACGGGAAACTTTTCGGCCTGCGTAAATATTCACAGCACCGGATCGCAAACTCTCAAATCTCCCAAGCCCCCGGCGTGTTTCCAGGGGCTCCCCCATGTAGTCACTTGACCTTCTCTGGGCCAAGAGAGCCCCAAGACGGGCCAAGGAGAGGGCCACAAGAAGCTCCCATGACGGCCCAAGAGCTCCCGTAGAGCGTTTCCTCTTCCAACCTCAGTTTCTTCCGCTTCGGGAAAGAGCTTACCTCTCCCTCTACCCCCACCCCCTGGGTCTGCACTGGGCGCCCCGCGAGCGGTCAGAGCGTCCAAGATGACCCAAAATTGCTCCAAGAGGGCCTCAGAGAGCCCCAGATGGCCTCCAAGATGGTTCAGGATAGCGCAAGATCGCTCCAGATGGCCTCCCACATGCTCTAAGAGGCCCCCCAGACCAATCCAAGACGGGCCCAAGTGCTATTCAATGCTCTGCAATGCTAACACAACGCCATGCACTCCAACCCCATGAAATGCTACGGAATGTTATGCAATGCTATGCCACGCTACGGTTTTCAATGCAATGCAAATGATATGTAGTGCTATACATGATCTGCAATGTTACGCAATACTATGCGACGCACTGCTGCATGACGCAGTGGCGTGCCATGGACTGCTTGGGCATATGACGAAACGTCGCAGATCCTGGCAAGCCTAGCGGTACAGTATCAGATTGTTAGTGCGATTGCGATTTCGCATGATCATGCCGATGTTTGCTGTGGATGTCTGAACTCCGAGCTGAGAGGGGCCCGTGCGGAAACTACCCGACATGCATTCTGTACGCGGTTGAGCGCTGTTGGCCACCGCTGTTGGCCCTGACCTTCGCGGGCACGAGACCTCGCGAGAGGAGCGTGGGGCAAAAGCATTCGCTGCGCAGGGCTAGCAACTGCCGCTGGCCTGCACTCCCCCCCCCATCAGGCCTCATGGGCCCAACGCTATCCTTCAGGTAGCATTCACCGTTGTTGGTCACAGTCCAGCCCTTGCATTGGCCCCCGGAAGCCTGGCACCTCACCTTGCAGAACTCTGCGTTCTGCACTTGGATCGGGCCCTCGTAATTGTGCCCATCGTTGTTCTGCTGGTTCTGCTGGTCCCCGCAGCTGGGGTAGCAGTAGCCGCTGCCCTGAACGCCCGCATCGCTCTGCATGTCCCCGACGCTTGTCTTCAGGTAGCACTCGTTGTTGTTGGTCACGGTCCAACCCGTGCACTTGTTGCTCCCGCTCATACCGCACAATCGCTTGCAAGTCTCAGTGTCGGTGTTGACGATCGGGCCCTCGTAGTTGCTGCCCCAGTTGTTGTTCCCATTCCAGGTGCCCCCGCAATAGTACGAAGGTCCAGAGCTGAGGCCTCCCTGCTCACTGCCGCACACCCGAGTGGAGCAACTGCTGTCCCAATCAGATTGCGTGTTGTAGTACTGGTGGGCCTTTCCAGGGCCGCAGTTCGGGCCTGAGCACTCCACGTGGCAACCGGGGGCATACATGCGGTTGTTCCAGTCCGTGCCGCAGTCGCTGCACTCCCCAGCCGGCCTCCAGCAGCAGAAACTGCTGCAGTCTGACGCAGACGCGAGCGAGGTGCTGTTTGCTGCGTAGCCGCGGAGCTGCCGAGCGGACGGCCCCATGTCCGCCGACGCCACTGCAGCGAAGCCGATCACCTGCATCGCACGCGCCATGCTGTCACAGCGGGTCTCTGGCAAGCTGAGCACAAACGGGGCGCGAGTAGAGAACTGTAACCTGGAGCCTTGAGCCTACAGCCGAAACGGATCGATATGAGCGCGTCGGTTGGGCGAATCAAGGTGCCAGGTGATTGAACACGCCGCAGATACATTATCAGCGGAGCAGAAGACAGTACGTGATGTGATGACAACCAGCTCGGTTTTGCTACAGCCTCCTCCAAGTGAAAAGCCGCTTTCTGCAAGTCTGGCCTTCTGCTCAGGGGCCCACCTCTTCCTCCCATCCGAATTCTTTGTTCTGGCGAGGGCTTCGATTCGAGCCGTAGCTGGAGATCCGCATGATCCGCGTGAGTGGTGTGCCGAAGTGGGCGGGGTCCCGCATGTGGACGCGCCCACTGGGGCCGCTGGTGGAGCTCCCTGTTGGGCACGATCCGCGGGGGGCGGCGTGCGACGGCGCCCACTGGGGCCGCAAGTGGAGCTTGCTCTGCAATGCTAACACAACGCCATGCTATGCAATCCTATGAAATGCTACGGAATGCTACAAAATATTATGCAACGCTATGCAATGCTGCGGTTTTCCATGCAATTCAAATGATATGTAGTGCTACGCATGCTCTGCAATGCTACGCAATACTATGCGACGCACTGCTGCATGACGCAGTGGCGTACCATGGACTACTTGGGCATATGACGAAACGTCGCAAATATTGGCAAGTCTAGCGGTACGGTATCAGAGTGATAGTACGAATGTGATTTCGCATGATCATGATCCTGCCGATGTTTCCTGTGGATGTCTGAACACCGAGCTGTGGGGGGCCCGTGCAGAATCTACCCGGCATGCATTCTGTACGCGGCTGGGCGCTGTTGGCCACCGCTGTTGGCCTTGACCTTCGCGGGCACGAGACCTCGCCAAAAGAGCGCGGAGCAAAAGCATTCGCTGCGCAGGGCTAGCAATTGCCGCTGGCCTGCACTCCCCCATCAGGCCTCATGGGCCCAACGTTATCCTTCAGGTAGCATTCACCGTTGTTGGTCACAGTCCAGCCCTTGCATTGGCCCCCGGAAGCCTGGCACCTCACCTTGCAGAACTCTGCGTTCTGCACCTGGATCGGGCCCTCGTAGTTGTGCCCATCGTTGTTCTGCTGGTTCTGCTGGTCCCCGCAGCTGGGGTAGCAGTAGCCGCTGCCCTGAACGCCCGCATCGCTCTGCATGTCCCCGACGCTTGTCTTCAGGTAACACTCGTTGTTGTTGGTCACGGTCCAACCCGTGCACTTGTTGCTCCCGCTCATACCGCACAATCGCTTGCAAGTCTCAGTGTCGGTGTTGACGATCGGGCCCTCGTAGTTGCTGCCCCAGTTGTTGTTCCCATTCCAGGTGCCCCCGCAATAGTACGAAGGTCCAGAGCTGAGGCCTCCCTGCTCACTGCCGCACACCCGAGTGGAGCAACTGCTGTCCCAATCAGACTGCGTGTTGTAGTACTGGTGGGCCTTTCCAGGGCCGCAGTTCGGGCCTGAGCACTCCACGTGGCAACCGGGGGCATACATGCGGTTGTTCCAGTCCGTGCCGCAGTCGCTGCACTCCCCAGCCGGCCTCCAGCAGCAGAAACTGCTGCAGCCTGACGCAGACGCGAGCGAGGTGCTGTTTGCTGCGTAGCCGCGGAGCTGCCGAGCGGACGGCCCCATGTCCGCCGACGCCACTGCAGCGAAGCCGATCACCTGCATCGCACGCGCCATGCTGTCACAGCGGGTCTCTGGCAAGCTGAGCACAAACGGGGCGCGAGTAGAGAACTGCAACCTGGAGCCTTGAGCCTACAGCCGAAACGGATCGATATGAGCGCGTCGGTTGGGCGAATCAAGGTGCCAGGTGATTGAACACGCCGCAGATACATTATCAGCGGAGCAGAAGACAGTACGTGATGTGATGACAACCAGCTCGGTTTTGCTACAGCCTCCTCCAAGTGAAAAGCCGATTTCTGCAAGTATGGCCTTCTGCTCAGGGGCCCACCTCTTTCTCCCATCCGATTTTTTTGCTCTGGCGAGGGCTTCGATTCGAGCCGTAGCTGGAGATCCGCATGATCCGCGTGAGTGGTGTGCCGAAGTGGGCGGGGTCCCGCATGTGGACGCGCCCACTGGGGCCGCTGGTGGAGCTCCCTGTGGGGCACGATCCGCGTGAGGCATGTGCCGAAGTGGGTCGGGGGCGGCATGCGACGGCGCCCACTGGGGCCGCAGGTGGAGCTCCTTGTGGGGCACGATACGCGTGAGGCGTGTTCTGAAATGAGCGGGGGGCGGCGTGCGACGGCACCCACTGGGGCCGCAAGTGGAGCTTGCTCTGCAATGCTAACACAACGCCATGCTATGCAATCCTATGAAATGCGACGGAATGCTACAAAATATTATGCAACGCTATGCAATGCTGCGGCTTTCCATACAATTCAAATGATATGTAATGCTACGCATGCTCTGCAGTGCTACGCAATACTATGCGACGCACTGCTGCATGACGCAGTGGCGTACCATGGACTGCTTGGGCATATGACGAAACGTCGCAGATACTGGCAAGCCTAGCAGTACGGCATCAGAGTGTTAGTACGAATGTGATTTCGCATGATCCTGCCGATGCTTCCAGTGGATGTCTGAACACCGAGCTGTGGGGGGCCCGTGCAGAATCTACCCGACATGCATTCTGTACGCGGCTGGGCGCTGTTGGCCACCGCTGTTGGCCATGACCTTCGCGGGCATGAGACCTCGCCAGAGGAGCGCGGGGCAAAAGCATTCGCTGCGCAGGGCTAGCAATTGCCGCTGGCTTGCACTCCCCCATCAGGCCTCATGGGCCCAACGCTATCCTTCAGGTAGCATTCACCGTTGTTGGTCACAGTCCAGCCCTTGCATTGGCCCCCGGAAGCCTGGCACCTCACCTTGCAGAACTCTGCGTTCTGCACCTGGATCGGGCCCTCGTAGTTGTGCCCATCATTGTTCTGCTGGTTCTGCTGGTCCCCGCAGCTGGGGTAGCAATAGCCGCTGCCCTGAACGCCCGCATCGCTCTGCATGTCCCCGACGCTTGTCTTCAGGTAACACTCGTTGTTGTTGGTCACGGTCCAACCCGTACACTTGTTGCTCCCGCTCATACCGCACAATCGTTTGCAAGTCTCAGTGTCGGTGTTGACGATCGGGCCCTCGTAGTTGCTGCCCCAGTTGTTGTTCCCATTCCAGGTGCCCCCGCAGTAGTACGAAGGTCCAGAGCTGAGGCCTCCCTGCTCACTGCCGCACACCCGAGTGGAACAACTGCTGTCCCAATCAGATTGCGTGTTGTAGTACTGATGGGCCTTTCCAGGGCCGCAATGCGGGCCTGAGCACTCCACGTGGCAACCGGGGGCATACATGCGATTGTTCCAGTCCGTGCCGCAGTCGCTGCACTCCCCAGCCAGCCTCCAGCAGCAGAAACTGCTGCAGTCCGACGCAGACGCGAGCGAGGTGCTGTTTGCTGCGTAGCCGCGGAGCTGCCGAGCGGACGGCCCCATGTCCGCCGACGCCACTGCAGCGAAGCCGATCACCTGCATCGCACGCGCCATGCTGTCACAGCGGGTCTCTGGCAAGCTGAGCACAAACGGGGCGCGAGTAGAGAACTGTAACCTGGAGCCTTGAGCCTACAGCCGAAACGGATCGATATGAGCGCGTCGGTTGGGCGAATCAAGGTGCCAGGTGATTGAACACGCCGCAGATACATTATCAGCGGAGCAGAAGACAGTACGTGATGTGATGACAACCAGCTCGGTTTTGCAACAGCCTCCTCCAAGTGAAAAGCCGATTTCTGCAAGTATGGCCTTCTGCTCAGGGGCCCACCTCTTCCTCCCATCCGAATTTTTTGCTTTGGCGAGGGCTTCGATTCGAGCCGTAGCTGGAGGTCCGCATGATCCGCGTGAGTGGTGTGCCGAAGTGGGCGGGGTCCCGCATGTGGACGCGCCCACTGGGGCCGCTGGTGGAGCTCCCTGTGGGGCACGATCCGCGTGAGGCATGTGCCGAAGTGGGTCGGGGGCGGCATGCGACGGCGCCCACTGGGGCCGCAGGTGGAGCTCCTTGTGGGGCACGATACGCGTGAGGCGTGCTCTGAAATGAGCGGGGGGCGGCGTGCGACGGCGCCCACTGGGGCCGCAAGTGGAGCTTGCTCTGCAATGCTAACACAACGCCATGCTATGCAATCCTATGAAATGCGACGGAATGCTACAAAATATTATGCAACGCTATGCAATGCTGCGGCTTTCCATGCAATTCAAATGATATGTAATGCTACGCATGCTCTGCAATGCTACGCAATACTATGCGACACACTGCTGCATGACGCAGTGGCGTACCATGGACTGCTTGGGCATATGACGAAACGTCGCAGATACTGGCAAGCCTAGCGGTACGGTATCAGAGTGTTAGTACGAATGTGATTTCGCATGATCCTGCCGATGTTTGCTGTGGATGTCTGAACACCGAGCTGTGGGGGGGCCCGTGCAGAATCTACCCGACATGCATTCTGTACGCGGCTGGGCGCTGTTGGCCACCGCTGTTGGCCCTGACCTTCGCGGGCACGAGACCTCGCCAGAGGAGCGCGGGGCAAAAGCATTCGCTGCGCAGGGCTAGCAATTGCCGCTGGCCTGCACTCCCCCATCAGGCCTCATGGGCCCAACGCTATCCTTCAGGTAGCATTCACCGTTGTTGGTCACAGTCCAGCCCTTGCATTGGCCCCCGGAAGCCTGGCACCTCACCTTGCAGAACTCTGCGTTCTGCACTTGGATCGGGCCCTCGTAGTTGTGCCCATCGTTGTTCTGCTGGTTCTGCTGGTCCCCGCAGCTGGGGTAGCAGTAGCCGCTGCCCTGAACGCCCGCATCGCTCTGCATGTCCCCGACGCGTGTCTTCAGGTAGCACTCGTTGTTGTTGGTCACGGTCCAACCCGTGCACTTGTTGCTCCCGCTCATACCGCACAATCGCTTGCAAGTCTCAGTGTCGGTGTTCACGATCGGGCCCTCGTAGTTGCTGCCCCAGTTGTTGTTCCCATTCCAGGAGCCCCCGCAGTAGTACGAAGGTCCAGAGCTGAGGCCTCCCTGCTCACCGCCGCACACCCGAGTGGAGCAACTGCTGTCCCAATCAGATTGCGTGTTGTAGTACTGGTGGGCCTTTCCAGGGCCGCAGTTCGGGCCTGAGCACTCCACGTGGCAACCGGGGGCATACATGCGGTTGTTCCAGTCCGTGCCGCAGTCGCTGCACTCCCCAGCCGGCCTCCAGCAGCAGAAACTGCTGCAGTCTGACGCAGACGCGAGCGAGGTGCGGTTTGCTGCGTAGCCGCGGAGCTGCCGAGCGGACGGCCCCATGTCCGCCGACGCCACTGCAGCGAAGCCGATCACCTGCATCGCACGCGCCATGCTGTCACAGCGGGTCTCTGGCAAGCTGAGCACAAACGGGGCGCGAGTAGAGAACTGTAACCTGGAGCCTTGAGCCTACAGCCGAAACGGATCGATATGAGCGCGTCGGTTGGGCGAATCAAGGTGCCAGGTGATTGAACACGCCGCAGATACATTATCAGCGGAGCAGAAGACAGTACGTGATGTGATGACAACCAGCTCGGTTTTGCTACAGCCTGCTCCAAGTGAAAAGCCGATTTCTGCAAGTATGGCCTTCTGCTCAGGTTCCCACCTCTTCCTCCCATCCGAATTCTTTGCTCTGGCGAGGGCCTCGAGTCGAGCCGTAGCTGGAGATCCGCATGATCCGCGTGAGTGGTGTGCCGAAGTGGGCGGGGTCCCGCATGTGGCAGCACCTACTAAGGCCGCTGGTGGAGCTCCCTGTGGGGCACGATCCGCGTGAGGCATGTGCCGAAGTGGGTCGGGGGCGGCATGCGACGGCGCCCACTGGGGCCGCAGGTGGAGCTCCTTGTGGGGCACGACACGCGTGACGCGTGTGCTGAAATGAGCGGGGGGCGGCGCGCGACGGCGCCCACTGGGGCCGCAAGTGAAGCTTGCTCTGCAATGCTAACACAACGCCATGCTATGCAATCCTATGAAATGCGACGGAATGCTACAAACTATTATGCAACGCTATGCAATGGCATGCTCTGCAGTGCTACGCAAAACTATGCGACGCACTGCTGCATGACGCAGTGGCGTACCATGGACTGCTTGGGCATATGACGAAACGTCGCAGATACTGGCAAGCCTAGCGGTACGGTATCAGAGTGTTAGTACGATTGTGATTTCGCATGATCCTGCCGATGTTTCCTGTGGATGTCTGAACACCGAGCTGTGGGGGGCCCGTGCAGAATCTACCCGACATGCATTCTGTACGCGGCTGGGCGCTGTTGGCCACCGCTGTTGGCCCTGACCTTCGCGGGCACGAGACCTCGCCAGAGGAGCGCGGGGCAAAGGCATTCGCTGCGCAGGGCTAGCAATTGCCGCTGGCCTGCACTCCCCCATCAGGCCTCATGGGCCCAACGCTATCCTTCAGGTAGCATTCACCGTTGTTGGTCACAGTCCAGCCCTTGCATTGGCCCCCGGAAGCCTGGCACCTCACCTTGCAGAACTCTGCGTTCTGCACTTGGATCGGGCCCTCGTAGTTGTGCCCATCGTTGTTCTGCTGGTTCTGCTGGTCCCCGCAGCTGGGGTAGCAGTAGCCGCTGCCCTGAACGCCCGCATCGCTCTGCATGTCCCCGACGCGTGTCTTCAGGTAGCACTCGTTGTTGTTGGTCACGGTCCAACCCG